TGTGCTCGAGTGTTAGAGTGATGCATGTGGGATATCCAGGGTGATCCAGTGTATGTGAACAGTGAGATGTTTGGGCGCTGAAGTCGCCATAGCCAATTAAGAGTGAACTCGTGCCTGAAAGCCATTTCTCTGAGTTTTGAGTGGGCGCATGTCGCCAGTATGCTGCGTTGCTGTTTACATGCATGAAAAGTGTGTTTGAGAACGAGTCTGATTGCACCAGTCACCCCAAGGGGTAATACTGAATGTACAGTAAGCTTATCTGTAGAAGGGACGCTGGACCCGTTTTCCAGCAGTTACTGCTCCCCACTAAAAGATGGGAGCCATCAACCCGGGAGGGCTAGCATAGGCTGCTCATATCACCTCGGCTTTAGTAAAGAACGATACAAAAAAGGTGCCTGTTATGACGGGCACCTGAAAACGAACTGGAACTCTGTCCCCATGCCTGTGTGGTGGGTGTGTTCTGTTCTTTTCTTTTTTCTTTTGGGGTAACCCATGACAGTCTAATCCGCTGCAGTCCATTTGCCTTTTTCCATTGGGCCCATCAGCTTCCTTCCTCATCGCTCTACTGGGCCTTTCCCAAGGCCCAAAATTTTCGGAGAGAGCCTCTCGTGATTGTCAAGTTGCCTGGGGCCATGTTCTGGTGGTTTAAGGTAAAGAACCGGTTTTGGGGTCTGGTAAAGTAGTGTTGTTCCTCGTCTCTCTCCAAGGTTGGCCTTCGTGGGTTGAGGTTGTCCTGGGACTGATCATCCCTTTTTTGGAGCAAAAGAGCAGTGAAATTGTAGGACCACTCCTTCGGAAATAAAAGCAGCGAGCTGAGGTTGACACTTAGCCTCACAAACTCCTTTTCAGCAAATCACTTTTTCTGGCAGGCCCTCCCAAATTGATATCTCAAAGAGGTTTTCTCACCGCTTGATATTTGACATCGGGTGGCTTATACCTCCCCCGCCATTTCCGGTGGACCTCCCTTTTTGAGATGGGCCAATGTTTTGAATGTGCGGCGTGAAACAGATGGGCTGCACTTGACAGCACGGGAACTGAAATGCATGCCGCGAAACCAAGGTGGATCATGTTCAGCAACAAACGCAGAGCCTTTTCTCTCACTCTCTCTCTCTCCCTCCCACCCTCCCTCCCTCCCTCCCTCTTCCTCTCTCTGTCTCTCTTTCAAAAAAGGAAAAAAAGAAAAAAGGGCCCTTAAGGCGTCATCCCCCCGTCCCCATGGTCAGCCAATGTATTTAAGATGATGGTGTTCTGTTCTTCAATTATAAATGATAACACTATAACATAAAATTAGCGTACTCCCTTCAGTTGAGTGGTTATTTTGGTGGAAGGAGGGACAGGGGTAGATGAATGGATGACTGTTTGTGCATGAGTTGGTTGGTTGGACTAATCTTTTTTTTTGTTTTTGGGGTTGATTAATCTGCTGACTTTGATGCAGGACTACTGTATTGGGCGGCTCCTGGGTCGTGGAAGCTTCGGTGATGTGTATGAGGCGAAGTGCCGAAACACAGGCAAGGCTGTTGCCATAAAGATGGTAAGGGGTGATTCTCATTAATCTCAAATAAGAATAACAATCAAAATCAAATCAAAATATAATATGGATTTCTGTCTATTTATTCATGATTGCTTTCTATTGGGAAAGCAGATTGAATCAAAGAATAAAACATGGTAACCGCCTGGACGTCCGGACCGGGTTCCAGACAGTCCTGTGTCCGGTGTCCGGTGTCTGGTCCCCATGTCCGGATGGAGGCCCCTGGGGCAAAAATAGAAAAAAAAAATGGGGCGGCCCAGGACGTTTGTTGGGTCCTAGCCGCCCCTCGAAAAATAACGGGGTGATTTTTAAGTGTCCTTTCACCCCACCGGACATGGCCTAGAGGTCCAGACACAAGACACTGCAGGTTTTTGAGGTGGCGGGTTTCGCACAGGCCCGAGCAATTTCAAAGTGGCCGTTTTGACATGGTGCCCGCCGCTGCTGCCCGTT